GAAGTTTATAATAAAATGCTTAATACGTTTATATTTGTCGTCCAAAAGTTTGAAAATAGAAGAACTTTCAGAAAAAGAAATACATTGTTAATTAATTCAAATGAAATAACATTTTACAGATTTTAAACATCAAGTTTAAATAATTAAATGAAAGTATTGTCCAAAAATTTGGAAAAAGTTAATTGTTGCACGATCAGAAAGTAGCATTTTCTTTTTTTAAAAATAAATAAAGTAAATTAATTATAATAAAATGTTAAGTTTGATATTGATAGAGGATCAATAACTATTATTAACATTTTAAATATTTCCAAATTTGTATTGAAAAAAATTATTGAATAAAAATTATATCATATCATAGAAATTATCTTTTAGTTTCGCGTATATGGAGAAGATTTCGAGATTATTTTTATTTCTTTTTAAAAAAAAAAGGTGATTAAGATTAAGATTTATTTATTAAGTTATAAAAATTTAGTTATAATTGAAATTTGCATTAAATGAAAATAGGAGAACACACATCTCATCTTCACACTGTTATCTTACTCTATGACGCGTTAATATTTAATAAAGATTAATGTATTACCGTACAGAGAATAATAGAATCTTTTTATTTTAAATTAAAATACCTGTTCAATTCAAACAGTTCTATTTATTATTTGAACAATATATTTCCTATTATAAAAATAACGTATATATAAATGTGTACATTGCCCCCAATCTATTATTTCATTTTTATTTATCGTACGAAATTTATTCGTAACGATTCAGTATAAAATTGAAGAAAAACACGAAATAATTATGAAACTGGGACGTGATGAATGAGTAATAAATTTAATGCGAATATATCGTGTTGAAAAATAAATTGATATAAAAATGCGGTGTAGCAAAACTGTTTACAACAGATCCAATGATTAAATGTATCAACAAGTCGAAAAAGATTAATCCCGGATAAAAATTTAAACGTTGATTTATTAGGAGATCCAGCGAAATACAAATAAAAATACGGGGTTGAAAAGTGATATCCTACGCGATAAGACGAAAACGTGATATTGAAAACTATTCGCGATCGTTAAATGCATCAAAAAGTCAAAAGGGATTAATTTTCCAGATAAAAATTTAAGCGTTGCTGTATTCGAGTGGTTTATACCATTGTGGAAACAATTAAATATCAATTATATCATATTGGATCAATTATACGTGAAAAAGGTCGGGAATTTATTGAAAATTATTAAAAAAAAAAAAAAAATAACAATATAATACTTTCTTTATTTTGTATTTTAATATGTAAAATTTAAACGATAATTTATTTTGCTCTACTTCTTTCTAATTTAAATATTGAATGTAAAGCAAATGAGCAAATACTTGGTCCCGTTGTAAGAATTTTTTCTTATTCAAAGAGATGTATGTTCTTAATCAATTAATAATAATAATAACAAATAATAATAATAATAACAATGTTTATTTATTTAAAATAAATTTTGTATAAAAAAATAATGATTTATAATATATATATTTAATAATTATTATTATTTATTTATGGCTTAAAATGCTTTTAATATAATAAAAATATCATATAATATTGAATATCATCGTAAAATTAATTTATGTAGTTCTATCGTATAAAATTCTTGTTCGTTACAATAATAAAACGTTTCATTAAAAATCTAAAGAAGAGAACGTACGCAAAAGTTGTATACAAAAAGTGTATACAAATTTCAATTAAAACTTATTTATTAAATTTGCATCAAGATGAGACGAGACGCAGATAGAGTAAAACGGAATAGAGTCATCTCATCCTTCTCTTCTACTACTTATAACTTAATAAAACCTCAAATGACATTTTTCTTTCTTTCTTTTTTTTTTTTTTTTTTTTTTTTTTTTTTTTATACCAGCTTTTGTATTTATTTTGCTCAGAATCGATTTTCTAAAGGTGTTGTCCACGAATAATATTAACAAGGTTAATATATTCATATCGCCGTTAAAAAACCGTGATTGGGTCAAAGTTAAAAAACTTTTCGACCGAAAATAACATCCCATTCATATTTATCGATTAATCCATCCTTCCAATTATACCAAAACACTGTAACTGACTGAGAACGCTCGATCGATCTCGACCGATTCCGAGACTCTTCATTGCAAGCAACGCCATCCTATTCTTGTCCGTCACTCGTGCGCGTATACGTGTGCGCGAGCGAGCGTGTGTACAAATGGAAAGTAAGAGGGAGTAATACGCTCGAAGCGCGACGATATTATTCAATCCTGGCGATCCAAAAACGATTTTCGAGTAAAAATTGTTCGCGATTTCATAACGGTTCTCGCGCAAACACGCGTTCAACGAGATAGAAATTCGGGAGAGAATTTTACACATATCTATGCCTGATGAAAAAGAGATAGATTTTTATTGAAATATTTTCGATAGCAATATATACACGAGAATTTCTCATAACGCGCAAACTAAAAAATTCTGGGCGAACTATTTTCACCGATCTCTACGCATTTCACTAATCCAATACTTTTCAACGGATATAAATTTCGCATTAAAATTTCACCGAACATAAATGTATTCAATATGTTTATTAATATTTATAAATAATTTTACGGAATTTTGCATGGGCAAGTGGACAATCAAAAATCTTTAATTATAATTGAAATATATTTATACGTTGATATTACGGATAATTTATATATTTGTTAAAATAAAAAATAAAAATAAAAATATATTATATTTTCACATAATAATTAATATCTAATTTTAATGAATTAATAAGTTTCTATTTCAATTTTTGACAAATTCGGATCTTATTGCATAAAACGATATATAATCTGCATCTTTATTCCGCAAAATAATCCAACATCTATACTAAATCTCTTATTCTTTATCGTTGTCTTCACCAATTGTTTATTCACACTATAGTAAATTCTTTTTTTAAATATATTATTATAGAACAATAACTTAAGAAAGTGTTAGATCTGCATCCTTTCTTTTGCCACAAGATCCTCAATTTTTATTCTAATAGAATAATATTCTATTTATAGTGTATTGCCATAAAATCTAACGTAAAATTCTACAGTATCATAAATATTTTTATGTTGTTAATATCTTACAACAAAACGTTTTATCTTATTTTTCGTCAAAAAATCTTATCATTTAAAATACATAAAAACAATTATTGATTATTGCCATAAAACCTAACCTAAAATTTTCAAACGTGTCGTTAAACCATAAAAATTGGGAAAACACTATGTTAATTAAAAAGCTCGTCCACGAAGCATTGACAAGACGCAAACAGAGCGAACAGACGTAAAGTATTCATTGTCCAGAGGAAGATTAACAATGTGTTCTTCGTGTAAAATCTGCAATTCGTACGCGACATTTATCACTCGTATGTCGACACTCCTCTGTCGCCATGGCGTTCACAATACCCACCTCGTATCATCCCATCCCACTTCATCTATTCCCATCTCGGTCGACGATCTTCTCTGACAGTTTTCACGTATAAATTCACATTTATTTTTTTTTTTTTTTCTACTTTAAAAATAATCCATCTTGAAACACATTTCATATTAAAAGGAAGAAAAGAAAACAATTCATGCAAAAAGAAAAAGGAGGAAGAGTGACAGTAGTTTGATGACATAAAATTCCAAACATTTATATATTTTTGGAGAGTAGAAAATACTTTGTAGAAAGTATAAAATATTATATTATGATTTAAGATAGAATATGTTTGTATGAATTATTCATTTTTTAATTTTTTAAGGCATTAGAAGATTAAGGTTGGTTTAAGGAAAGGTTATTTTGTACCCATATAAGAGAAAATAGTAAAAATATAATTTTTTTTTATTCGAAGCATGTTTATTTATATAATAGAATAATATAAGACATTTAAATACCTATTGATGAAAAAATATTATTGATATATTTATTTAACCTAATATTTTTATAGTTTATATGTAATAATATTATTAATTAATTATTATTTATAATAATATTTTACGTATCACAATTTAGTTGGACATGATATGTATGCATATCGAACTAATAAATCAAAATTTTATTATTAAAACAAAATTAATTTTTTAGTGGCAATTTTTAAATTATAAGAAGCAATAATTTGAGATGAAATAAATAATATCATTTTTATATTTTCTAAATGTAGTCAAAATGTAGTTCCAAGATTAACGAGGAATCGACTTTTTATTCGAGATGCGCTTTCCATTTAAGTGCTTATAAATTGTGAAAGCAACAAAAAATATAATATAAAAAATAATTCGAATAAAAGTTTTACACGCCTATAAATCTATATAAAAAATATTTTTAAAAAATATTTTCACGAAATAAATTTATTTTCAAAAATATTTTATGTTGATTTATAGATCCTTGAAAATAATAAAACTTTTATTTATATTATACATTTTTTTTATACATTTTTTATATATATATTTTATATATATTTTCATCATTTACGATTTAAAAACATTTAAATATGAAAAATGCATCTTGATGAAAAAAACAATTTTTTTTTCTTAAAATAAAAAAATATCGGAAACTCAACAAGATATTTAAATCGATCCAAGAAACAAAATTATGAAAAATTTCATTAAAATCAGTTTGTATCAGTCGCCAATGTTCCTTCATCAGTAAAAAAAGAAAGGGGTTGGAACGATGGGAAAGGGAGGAGGGTTCCGGGGCCGTTTCGATTTCGATTTCCTGCATTTCCTCGCACATTTCTCGAGCGGAAGTCAATTTCTTTCGGGTCGACACATCGAACAAAGCATTCCAGATATTCGCCGCGAGAAGGGAGAAGAGGACGTAGCCGGGTCTCTTCTCCGGTCCACATAGATAATTGAGTAGTGCGTGAAAGCTTTATTGTCCAAGGTGCAAGACTCTTCATACCATTTCATTCCATTTCATTGCATCGCATTCCAAGCTTCGATCGAAAGCATCGGGAGAACGATGGGAGCCAATATGCCGGCCTACGTTTTTATTATTATTCACATATTTTTATATATTTTTTGCTTGTTTACTTTTTTTTTTTTTTTTTTTCGTATCTATGCGATCTATCGTGGCAACTCTCGTCGAGGACGCCACTCGTTGATCCGATCGAGCAATCAGGCAACGCCGACTTAGGACGACACATGCAGCCTAGCCATGGCAGGCTTTCGTCTTCTATATAGTGTTACATTTTTTTTTTTTTTTGGTTCGCTCATTTTTTTTTTTTCATCGCATTTCATTCGTAATTTTTATTATTCAGGGGTATACAACCAGTAAGCGGTCCAACATCGAACATCGCAAGCTTGTGTGTGTTTTAATGCCTCGTGCTGACAGATATATGTCGGGAGATGTCGGGGAGGTCTGTGTCCGGCGCCCAAGGTCACGGTGTGGAACATACAAAGCCTCTGTGAACATTGTGCACATTCGCTGTCAGTGGAAGCTGCGTGATATAAGGCTGGAACGCCGTGTTCCGTATAAGGGAATGGAGGGATAGGGGAGTTGTTTTTTTGGTCAAACGCTGGGATCATGCTTCGTCCAAGTTCCTCGTGTTTCAAACCGTTCGGTCTGCCCTCGAGATCGACAAATTCATTATATTTGTATAATTGTTATTTATATAATTTGTACGTATTTATAATAAAATTATATATAATAAAACTGTTAGGTTTTCACAATTGATCATCAATCGAATTTGATCCTATTATTACAATTTAAATTTCGAATCACTTATTAACGAAATATACAAGATTTTTCTCAAACGGTCACCCATCCCAGTACCGATCGTGACGAATGTAATTGCACTTAATGATCGAATAGGAAATATTGAATCCTCATCACCAAAGTAGTTGATAAATATTGTTTTTTATTACTGCTGACATTAAAAATGATGAGAATTAGAGTGTTTTGAATCATTTCAAATAGATATTCCAAAAATTCTTGAAAATCTTGAAAGCTCTAAATAGAAAATTTCGAAAAGTTTTTCTTAACTTTAATTTACCTTTGAATCAAAGAACATCGGCCAATTCTTAAAAACATATAAGAGAGAGAAATCACAGAACAATTCTTAAATCTGTTAAAGCTTTCCAAAACAAGATTTTCAAGAATCTTTAGATTTCGAAACCGGATTCATAATAATTCGAATTTTCTACCATTTTAAGAATTTGAAGCGATTTAAAGCATTCCAAATCTCGTCACTAACAACAATACACGGTATTTTTAAGCGATAGTCCAAATACTAATCGTCTAACATAGCTTTGTAGACTTTGTTAATGAAAATGAAAATTAATGAATTCTAAATTCTTGCCAGGAAATTTTTTAACTAAATGTTGCGACTCTCGATAA